CCTGATATATTTTATTTATATGCGTTTATTCCTGTCTATCATCATCACATGTACTGTCTCCTTAACCTTATCTTTCTTTATCTTTGTTTCCCTAGCAGCCTTTTCTTTTTTATCCTTATTTCTCTAGCAGGTGTATTTGCTTCTTTCTTTCCTTCTGTCTCTTTATCCTTCTCTTCTTTCTCTTTGTCTCCCCTGTCTCTTTATCTGTCTTTTTTGTCTCTTTATCTCACTTCCTGTTCCTTCTATGTTCGTCTCTTTATTTACTCCCCTTTATATATGTTTGTCTTGTCTCTCCCTCTTTTGTATATCTTTCTATCTATGTTGATATTGTTTGTTTTTTCTTCATTTTTAAATATCTCCTTGTCTCCTTTTAACTGTGCAGTTGGTAAGGGAATATGAAGCCTCCTTTGATGCTTATTTGTCTCTTTCTTTCTTTCTCTCTCTCTCTCTCTGTCTCTCTCTCTCTCTCTCTATTCTTTTGCACTTACAGATGCTATTGTGCTGTTGTCTCTGCCTCCTTGTTTGCTGTAGATATCATTGTCTCTTTTTAATATGATCTGTCTTTTTATTTTTATGTTGTTTGTCTCTTGCGTCTGTTCGTTCGACTTTGCTCTCTCTTTTCTTTCCAGTGGATTATTTGCCTCTCTTTTACTCATTTGTCTCTCTATCTAAATTGTTTATCTTTATTAAGATTACTTTTCTCTTAATTGCTTTTTTCTGTTTTTTTGCCTCTCGTCTAAATAGAAAGTGCGTTGTAACAAGGAGCAAAGAAAGAATAATTCATCACCCTCTCTCAACTGTCTCTTCTTCTGTCTCTTTCTATATTTCTTTTTAATTCTCTGCTCTCTCTCTCTCTCCGTGCTTGCTTACCTTACCCTTTGGCTTGTCTTGTGCTGTCTATGCATGCGCCTTTTTCTGTTCTGTTTTTGTGTGCGTTTATTTATTTGCTTACTGTATGTCTCTCTTCTCTGTCTCTCTATACTGTCTATACGCTGCAGCATTAATAATTGTTTCATCTCTACAGGATGAGCCCGTGCGTCTATGCTGCGCATACAGCCGAACTTAAACAGCAATAGATAAAAGGGAGATATATTCTTTTAGAGGATATTCATGATAATAATACAACACTATATTAAATTGTGCATCCATATGTCTCACTCTTTCTTTCTCTCTTTCTTTCTTCTGGCTGCTGTTGTTCTTTATGGTCTTTTGTCTCTGTTTCTCTCTGCTTTAATCTCGTTATTTCTGTCTCCTTTCTTTCATACCCCCTCTGGTGTTTCTGCTGCGTCCCTCTTTTGTGTTTCTTTGCTATTGAGCCACGCGTAAGCGGTAGGGCTTAGGGTTTAAGGTTTAGGGTTTTTACACACGTCAAAGCGTATTCAAATGCTTGTTTCTTTATATATATATTTATATATATATATATTTACAGGTAGATAAATATGTAAATATATATATATATATATATATATTTGTATTAGTTCCGTTATGACATCTTGTTCACACCTAAGGCCCTTTTTATCGTGCAGAGAATATATAGTTAAAATCATCTTAATGTATTGTTTGAAAGGAAGGGATGCAGGATGAGTGCAAACAACAGCTATATTCCTACAAATAATTATTACAAATATAGTGCGTGGTGTTACTATCAGTATTAAAGTACGAGTATGAATAGACCTTGCAATTATTATGAAGAAATAATAATTTATTTATAATAGTTGCAATATCTATTGTTTAAATGACGAACAATTACACAAACTCTTATTCTGTTGTTTGTTTATCTTTTCCTTAGCCGGAAGTGCGTCCATACATTCACAGCCCTTCAGGGGTATGCGCAGCTCAGCTGTATGTACACTTCAAATGTATACAGGCCTCAGCTTTAGTATGAAGCTTCTTGCTTGCATTTTGTACATTTGTTCTTGGGCCTGTATACACACATACATCAGCTGAGAATATACAGCAGGGCCGTCTGTGTAGCGCTTGTTTGTTTGTTTTGAGGTGTAGAGGCTTTCCTTTTTTATTATATCTTATCAGCTTGTTCTAAGGGTAAGAATTCGAATGAGTAGTAATTAAATATAAATTGATGTAAACATGTTGAAGTGCAGTCTGCATCAATATCAGTTATAAGTATTACTATACAACTTGCATATTCTTGATATTATTAAAATATTTGTATTACTATCATTGTATGGTTATTATTAGTGAACGTATTTGTTTTATTCCTATTCCTACTTAAATGCCTTTCTGTGTGCTGAAGATGGAGGCAGACAAATATCAAAAAGAAGAAAAGTTGCGGTCAGAGCACAACACGCGTTTGCATGCACTCCAGCAGCACTAAAAAAGAAGAGAGCAGCAGCACTGAACTAACTGACGTGTCTCTTCTGCATTTGTATTGTCTGTGTCTAACTTACAGAATGTATGTGAATGCAAACAAATACAAAAACCGAAAAGAGACGAACAAATGTGCCTGCTGCTGCTGCACTGAAGAGACACCCCAGCAAACGACAGACAAACAAAAAACTCCTTTTGTTGCTGCAAGAAAGAGGCGAAGAAGCTCATCAAAAATGCATGCGCTGCTACTGCACCTCTCGCTTTATACAGCGAGTAAGTGTTTGGGTTTGCATGCACTTTTAGTACTTTCTTCTCAGCCTCAGTACAGCAAGAAGGTATTGCAATTAAAACATTTAAACAAACATTTTTTTGTTGTCTCCCTGCGAATAGAGTAGACGTATTATGCCAGAATAAAACCAAATGCTTTTGTCTGTACAGACAGAGTAAAGAAAGATTGGGGTATTTTGTCATTATTTGTATTGATGAAAGTTTGCAAAGACGAAAAAGTGTAAAATGAAAGAAAATAGAGAGTTTGCATTAAGAAGAAAAGTCTTCCCTTCTGAAGCCCAATGCCACGATAGCTTGAGGCAGTGCGACTGCTGTTACTGCTGCTGCTGCTGCTGCTGCCGTTCATGTTGCTGCTGCTGCTGCTGCCGTTCATGGTTGCTGCTGCCGTTCATGCTGCTGATGCTGCTGCACGTGCTGCTGCTGCTGCTACTTTTGTTGCCGCTGGCGCTGTTCGTTTGTTTTTTTGTTTCGTCATTAAAGGCTGACGAGGTATAATTTGCTGCGCATTGTTTTTTTCTTGCTTTCTACTGCATCTTTAGCTTTGCATATATTCTCTGCCTGTTGTTTATGGTGTATGCACACTGAATAACTAGCATGCTTTTTCTCTTTCTAATATATATATATGTACATTTCGCAAATTAAATGTTTGCTCTTATAGATATATAGCTGGGGATGTGCAGATATTTTGTATGTGATTGTTTATATCCGTTTATATTCGCGTTGTACATATATTATGAATAATATATATATATGTATGCATATACGTTTCATTTGGGCGTATATATTCGCCTTATACATCTGTCTGCTTCAGGCAGTGAGGAGACAACTTTCTCTTATTACATTCTCAAGAACAGTGCACGCACAGAGATAGATACCATGCATGCGCTCATGCACTTTTGCATGCATTTGCAGGTAGTTTGCATGCAAAATGCATGTTGGGGCTGGCGGTCCTGACAGCTGTGTGTGAGTTGGGTTTTCATGCCTCTGTCTGCATAAGAAAGTGCGATTATTATATAAAAAGCATATGTATATATATATGTTTGTTTAGGCTGTGTTTGTATATATAATATATATATATATTTATATATATATATATATTCATCTCTGTTTAGACAAGAAGAGGTAATGATTTGTTTGTGTGTGCGGCGCGACAAAAATGGCAGTGTACAGACACTGGGATATTTCCTTTGTAGGTTGAGGCATTTCGTGTATATGTTTATTTGTGTTTATTTGTTTTAATTTGTTTTTCTTACGCTTTGATGCTTGCCACTTGCTTTGATTTCCCTTGCTCGGGGTATCTGTCTGTCTGCGCAAAACTGGCCATAGTTTATGTTGAGTTTGTTTGCTGTTTAGTTTTTTGTTTATATTTATTCTTTGCTTCCTTTTGTCTCTCTTTGTCCTTTTCTTGCTTCTTTACCCTCTCTTCTCTCCGCCTCCTAGACGCATTTCCAGGCTGTGAGTTCACAGCACAAAGTATTCAAATATTCCAACAGAAGAGGCACTTGCATGCAGCCCCTGTATGCATGCATGCATGCAGTCCTGCATACATACAGCCATACAGGCATGCATGAAGCCGTACTTGCATGCATGCAGTCCTGCATGCATACATGAAGCCGCATGCATGTAGTCTTCAGCACTATCACTGCAGTTGGCTGAGGTGTATGTACATCAGTGTACACCAGAAGTAGTAGTAGTAGTAGGTGTAGGTACTTAGGAAACGCAGCACGTGTATGTACACTGCAACAGCATGAGGTGTACCTGCAGTGAAACTAGAGGTGTATCTCAAGTATAGCTGCCTTTGATTAAAATATACAGATTAGAATATACAATTAAAAAAATGCATGCAAGAATAAATCAATAAATGCTGCCGTTGTAAAGCGTTGTGGGGTGTATCTACAGAAGGTTGTAAGTCTAAGACATACAGAAGACGAAACAAACAAAAAAGCAACTAAACATACAAGAAGAAACTTTATAGGGAATAAACAAACACAAATAAATGCTTCTACGAACTGCATGCATAAGAGGCACCTTGATAGAGATAAAACAAAAATAGAAATAAAACAATAAACACTGCAACTAAATACACGAGAGACAGCTATTTACTATTATTATTTTAAATCAGCATTGTTATGTGAACCCTAACAGATAAAAATAAACGAGCAAACACACAAAAACAACAAAAAGGAAACACTGAGGAGCGCAACAAATCGATAAAGAGACAAAAAGCAGCAGCCAAGCTGCTGAACAAAGTCAAGAAAATTAGAATAAAGAAAAGAAGCAACAAATAGGCAGGAGATAAAGACATGCATGCATGCACACCCTCAAAAGAATTAACACGCAGCGTTAAACCTTATACATTAAACCCTAAACCTTATGGTGAGCAGATGGTGAGCGGAACAGCACCTCCACCAACCCTGAATTATCGAGCCTGGCCCCTTGCCCCTAGAAACAGCAAAGTTGTTTAGGGTTTAGGGTTTAGGGTTTAGGGTTTCTACTGAGGCTTCATCGCAGCCATTGTTTTTGGCTTTTGTCTTGTTTTCTCCCGAGGTGTTTGTTTATTTTGTTTTATTCTGTGTTTCTGTTTATTTATATACTTCTCTTTTAATTTGGTGTTCTTGTTTTGTTTTGCTGCAGGCCAGGGTGGTGAGCCTTTTGGTGCCTCCCTGCATAGCGTTCATTTAATGCTTAGATATACACCCCAAGACTGCAGGTGCAGTCTTGGGGTGTATATACACCTCAGCATCTGCACATATATTATGCACTTGAATAGATCTGGGGTGTTTGTACACCTCAGCGTCTGCACATATACACCCCAAGTAGATTTGGGGTGTATGTACACATTAACGTCAGCGTATATATTATACACCTGAGCATATTTGGGGTACATGTACACCTTAGCATCAGCGAATATAGTATACACCCAAGTATTTGGAGTGTATGTACACCTCAGGCTGAGCTCAATGCATGGCCTCGCCGCGGAGGGCTCGGAAGAACACCCGAATTTGAAGAGCCCAATGACGATCTCTCCTGGGACAGTGATGGTTTAGACACATACAGCAGCAGCGACAGCAGCACCAGCAGCACCAGCAGCACCAGCACAAGCGACAGCAGCGGCAGCAGCGAGAACAAAAACCGCAAAAGGCGCAGAAACAGACGCAAATACAGCAGCAGCAGCACCAGCGACAGCAGCAGCGACAGTAGCAGCAACAGCACCCAAAGCAGCAACAGCAACGATAATACTGCGGGCGGCATACAGGATACACCTTCACCCACTCGCCCTCCGCCTGTGCAGCAAACCCTGCCAACAGATGAATCTGCTGCTGCTCCCCCTGATGCTACTCCCGCTGAGGCTGCTGCTGCCGATGCTGCTTCCACTGCTGATGAGAGTGGTGCTGCTGCAGCGCCAGACTCCGAGCGCAATAAGACGGTTGAGCCAACAGCAGCAAAAGGACCAGCTGAAGCAGCAGAAGCAGGAGCAGCACCAGCAGCTGCAGCAGACGGGCAGGTAGAAGCAGCGAATCCTGAGGTAGTTGCGGCAGAGGCTCCCGCTGCAGAAGCATCCGCATCAGCAACATCAGCCTCAGCAGCAGCAGCAGAACAGACCGCAACAGCAGCAGAATCTGAAGCTGCAGAAACAGGAGCAGCAGAAGACGAAGCACGAGGAACAGACGAAGAAACAGCTAAGCAGCAGCAAACGCAAGTAGCTCAACAGGTAACGGAACAGCAACACGAGGAACAGCAGCAGCAGCAGCAGCAGCAGAATGGTGAGGAGGGGAGTACACCGGTGGAGACGACGCAGCAGCAGACCCCGGAGCAGCAACAGCAGCAAATAGAGCTGCAGACCCAAGAGCAGACTCAAGGACAGCTGCTGCAGCACGAGGAGCCACAGCCGCCGCAGCAGCAGCAAGAACAGCAGGAGCAGCAGCAGCACGAGCAGCAACCGCAAGAGCATCCAGAGGAGCTCCCAGATCAACAGCAGCAGCAGCAACCGGAATTACAGTACCAGCAACAGCAGAAGCAAGACCAAGACCAGCAACAGGCGCAAGAGCAAACAGAGCAGCAGCAGCAGCAGCAAAAGGAAGAAGCAGAGACGCACCCAAAGGAAAAGCAGCAGCAACAGCAAGAGAAACCAGATGAGCTGCCGCAGCAGCCACAACAGCAGCGGCAGCAGCAGCAACAGCAACCGCAATCACAACAGCAGAAGGAGCAGCAGCAGGACCAAGACCAGCAGCAACAGCAAGCAGACTCGCAGGAACAACAGCAGCAGCAAGTGCAACTAGAGCAGCAGCAGCAGCAAGATCAACCACAGGCTTCGTCCCAGCAGCAGCAGGAGCAGGAGCAAGCAAAGACGCAGCAACAGCAGCAGCAGCAACCGCAATCACAGCAACAGCGGGAAGAGCAGCAAGAGCAAACAGAGCAGCAGCAACAGCAAGAGCAAGCAGCGGTGAACACGCAGCAGCAGCAGCAAGTGGAACTAAAGCAGCAGGAGGAGCAGCAAGACCAACCAAAGGAGCTGCAGGAGCAGGAGCACCAGGAAGGGCAAGGAAAGCCACAGCTGCAAGAGCAACCAAAGACGGAGCAGCCGCAGCAAAAGCTGCAGGACGACCTAATACTGCAGCAGCAGGAGCAGGAGCAGGAGCAACCAGATAAGCAGCCAGAGCAACAGCAGAAGCAGCGACCGCAGTCACAGCAGAAGGAGGATCAGCAAGGCCAAGACCAGCAGCAACAGCAAAATCCAACTAGTGCAGCAGCAGGAGCAGCAGCAGCGGCGAGTGGAACTAAAGCAGCAGCAGGAGCAGCAAAAGCAACCAAAGGAGGCGGCAAAGCAGCAACAGCGGGAGCAGGCAAAGGCGCAGGTGCAAAAACAAAGAAAGACGCAGCGGCAGCTGCACCAACAAAAGCAGCAGGACGAACTAGTGCAGCAACACCAGGAGCAACAGCAAGAGGAGGAAGTAGAAAGGCACCCAAAGCAACAGCAGCAACAACAAGAACAACCAGAGGAGCAGCGACAGCACCAACAACAGCAACAGCACCAAAGTCAAGACCAGGAGCAGCACCAAAACCAAGCAGAGGTGCATCAGCAACAGCAGCAACAGGGCAAACTACTGCTGCAGCAGGATCAGCAAAAACAACCACAGCAGCAGCAAGTAGAGAAAGAAGGACCAGCGGAACTGCCGAAGAAGCAGCAAAAGTTAAAGCAAGCAATGACGCAAGCAGCGGTGCAGCAGGAGCAGCAAAACAGGAACCAGCGCAGCAGCAGCAGGACCAGCAACAAGGGGAGCAGCCAGAGCAGCAGCCAAAGCAGCACGAGCAGGCACAGCAGGGGCAGGGGCAGCAAAAGGAGCAGCAACACAAGCAAGGAAAGGAGCAGCAGCCGCAGCAGCAAGAGCAATCAGAGAAGGCGCCAATGCAGCAGCAGCAGCAACAGCAGCAGGAGTTGCAGCAACAGCAAAGAGCACAGCAGCAGCAGCAGCAAGAACCAGAGCAGCAACAACAACAGCAGCAAGAGCAACCCGAGAAGTTGCCAATGCAGCAGCAGCAGCCGCCGCAGCAGCAAGGAGAGGAGCAGCAGCAAGAGCAAGTAAAGACGGAGAAACAGGAGAACAGACAACTAGAGCAGCAACAACAGCAGCAGCAAGAGCAACCCGAGAGGTTGCCAATGCAGCAGCAGCAGCAGCAGCAGCAAGAAGAAGAAGAAGAGGCGAAACTGCCGCAGGCACAGCCGCCAGCGCTACAATCCCGTGAGGAGCAGCAGCACTAGCAGCAGCAGCAGCAGCAGCACTAGCACTAGCAGCATAGCACCAGCAGCAACAGCTGCAGCAGCAGCTAGCAAGGGGAAGTGCTTTGTTTAGGTCTTAGAGCAGCTTACTGCAGTTTGCCTTCCAGACATTTGTGAGTGGAACTCTGCAGATGTTGCTGCTACTAAACCCTAAACCCTAAACCCTAAACCCTAGAGTCGACACCCTAAACTCTCGCAGTGGAAGCAACGGGTTTTCCTTCTTTTTGAATTTATTTTCAAGGAAAGGGCCCCAAGATAAACAATGGGGGCCCCCGTAATACGCCTGTGGGGCCCCCCAACACTTTTCTATGGAGGCCCCCAACACTTTTCTATAAGGGGCCCCATTACATTTTTATAGGGGCCCCCATTACATTTTTATGGGGCCCCCAACACATATTTATTAATATATATATGGGGGCCCCCCAAAGGTTGGGGGCCCCCAACTGCCTGGGGCCCCCCGAACTGCTTGGGGGCCCCCATCGGCCTGAGGCCCCCCAAATTGCTTAAGGGCCCCCCAACGGCTTGGGGGGCCCCTTCAACGCTTAAGAGGGCCCCTCAAACTGCTTGGGGCCCCCCAGTTGCTTGGGGGCCCCTTAAACGTCATGGGGCCCCTTGCCCTCTTTTTAGACAGGGCCTATTCATTAAGCAAACAGTGTGCGTAACAAACTGCGTGGAGACATCCAGCATTTTTATTTTAAGTATTATTGAGAGCGTTGGGTTTTGATTGAGGTGTACAATCAATTGTGCCGCTGTTAGCATAAGAAGTTAGATATATTTAAATTGTTTTTGTTTGCCTGTTTGTCTTTCTGTCTATTTGATTTGGTGTTATTTTCTGTCTCTTTTTTGTTTGTTTTGTTTGTTTTGTTTGTTTTTTTGTGAATTTGTTTGTTTGTCTGGTTGTCTTTATGTTTACTCCTTTGTTTTTTTTAGAGGAGACAGGAAGAGACAAACAAAGACAGAGAAAAACAAACAAGCAAGAACAAAGTAATAAACAAACGAATAAACAAACAAACAAATAAACAAGACAGAGACAAGCAAAATCAGCAATGGAAGTAAACACCAAGACAAACAAACAAACAAATACACAAACAAAGACAAAAAAGTAAAAAGAAACAAACACAAACAAAGACAAACAACAGAGACAGAGACAGAGACCAACAAACAAATGGACGTAAATAACAATAAATGAGGAAACAAACATAAAAAGGAGATTAAAAAAATATCATACGATATCCTCAGCAGCTAACTATCAGCAGCTAGCGGCAGCTAGCTAACAGCAGCTAGCTAGCTGCAGCTAACTAGGAGCTAGCAGCAGCTAGCTAACAGCAGCTAATATGAAGAAGCAGAAGACAACCACAGAGATGAAGGAAACAAAAAAAAGGAGAGAGATATTACAACGATAAAATTTGTTGCTAAGCCTCCTCTTTTACAGGCAGGAGGAGGCCCCCTGCAGCAGAAGATGGGGGGGGCCCCTTTACAGCAGCAAGTGGGGGGCCTCCTGCTGCAGCAAGTGGAGGAGGACCCCCTGCAGCAGCATGTCGAGGGGGGCCCCCTGAA